CATTGTAATATCATGACTTTTGTTATTTTATTATGTCATTCATTTGATATCGTGTATTAAACAGTAGGTACCTCTTGTGAGCTTATAATATGTATTATGTTGCAACAAAAACGTTGAATGTCATAGAGTTGAGTTATTAAATTAAGTTAGGTTGCTAACACACACGGTAGGTACATTAAACTCACGAGAGTACACAAAAGTATTAGTGACAAAGTGTAACCGTCACGATTTACTGCAATGAAATGATATTTATTGAGCATATTATGATTTCTACACTCACCAAAGACGGCACTGCTCCGTGCCGCAGACGTCGGCGTTGTGCATTTCCTGCAGCGTAGTCAACACCGCGGACGAAATGCCTCGAACACAGCTTCGATGCGTTGGTCACAGGAAAACCGCGGTCCACCACAAATGCCGTCCACTCGACTCGATAAACGTCGATTGTTGGAAATCTAAAGGTGACATAATATTAATGATTTTATTACATTGCTATGCATCAACGTGATGTGTAAAATAATTGTAAATACCCGTGTACTGAAACACCATCGATGTTGTCCACTATTCCGCATATAACGCAGCGTTTGACCATTTTGAATAGTCTATATTATAAGTAAAAAGTAAAAAGTAAATACTAAATAATATGAAAACATATTACATTATGTGTTATTTTTAGAAATAATAGATAACCACCGGCTTAATGTACATACAAAATAGAAAAATACGAAAAATTACATAGGTACCCAGCTTTTTACTAACGCAAAATTCCAAGCGATAAAACACGTGTACCGCAATGGTAACGCGCCGAAACGGCCAACGGACTTACGCGTCTACACCTCTCACAGCTAATACGAATGAAAAACGTTATAGGTATTCAAAGTAAATTTTGCGGTGTACGAAAAAACACGAAACGCGCGGAAAACGAATGAGGAAAAACGAAAAACGTGTGTAGGTGGTGAAAATATGTTCATTCGCGATACGCGCTGCCATGAATACACCTGTAGTTTATCTTAATATATATTATTATTGTAGGATATATAAAAGTCGTACTCACCGGTATGTGAAAAGCGCCCAATGAAAAACAACACAACTCCAAGAAAAGCACCGAATATTATATAATACAACGTATTACTGTATTAGGCTTTTCCGCGTTGATGTGCGTTGTAAGAGCGCTGGTCGCGAGTTGAGGCAGGGCGCAGGTTGTGCGTTTCGCGTCGCCAAAGCTGTCCCACCGCGGCTCCACTCCACCGCAGTGCGTGTGTAAGCCGACCCCGCGTACTGTATCCCTACCATAGTCTTGGAACCGTTATCATAATGTTGGTAACCACGGGTTTAAGAGACGTCTAACATCATGTTGGCGTGATTTCATGTTTTTTCGATCCTACCGCGTCGAACCTTCCGACGCATGACGTATTTATAATAACGGTCGTACGTAGACAATCACTCCTAAGCCCTAAATCGTAATAATTGACAATTTTTAATATTACACACGCATGCATAAACACATACCTACACAATAACACAATACCTATATACCTATAATGTGACATGTGTGCACACACGACATGAATCATAACGCAGTGCCTACACATCAATATGAAAATGTAATATAAATATAATAAGACATTAAACAAACATTAATATATTAAAAATCGCGTAAAATATATATCTATTACGGGAATAACGGGCGAAATCCTAACGAAGAGTAAAACTCGAATTTTGACCTGAAATCGTTGAAATCGTGACGACGCAGCGCTCTCCGCGATCGACTCGTCCGCCGCGACACTCGTCCGGGAGAAAGCGCGGCCTATAAAATTAGAGGGGAACGCGAATAAGTCGTCTACGGGGAGGGCAGAAGTGTCGAAAAGGGCTAGGACTAGAATTTTAGAAAAAACGGCAATAAACGACTCGACAAATGTATTTATGCCTGTAAATAGCGTACCTACTCTCGTTTCCGCGACGCCACTCCTCTCCGGGACTCGTATGTGAAAAAGTAGGGCCGCGCGCCGGCTGTAAATTTAGCGTGGAACGTGAATAAGATCCAAACGTTGAGGGCGATCCGACCGAAACGGGCTAAAACTCGAATTTTTGAAAAAAGCGGCAAAAAAAAAGGAAATCGAACTCTTCGACGCATATATTCACGCCCGTGTATAGAAATAAATAGAATCAAGGGCTGCTTTGACGGGGAACTCGAATAAGTCTTCGATGGGGAGGTCCGAAGTCCGCAGAGGCGGTAAAACTCGAATTTTGAAAAAAATCGGAACATTTTCGTTAAATACGATAAGACGGAAGTGATAGCGAAACGACGAAAAAAAAAGTGAAAAAAAATTCCCATCCAACAGGGGCGCCGCAAATTATCGAAAATTCCGGCAGCCGATTTCGAACCCACGACCCTCGGGTCACCTATCCTAACGCCTAACCAACCTAGCCACCTACTCGGATGAAATTTAGAGTCAATTCTATGACTCTTAAGCCGCGTCGCCGTGCTCGCGAAAGGCGATCGCCGTTTGGACGGCCGTCAAAGGGCGTTTGAGCGGGCGATCCGACCGCGTCGGCGAGCGGACGACCGGCTCCGCCGCCGTCGGACGTGTAATACGCGAGATTCGCGAAAAAAATCGAACCTCGAGACGCACGTATTTATGCCAGTATATAGCGGTACCCACTCGATACCCCATCGGTACCTACTCTCGTTTAAGCGACGTCGCTCCTCCCCGGGACTCGTTTTTGAAAAAGTAGGTAAGCGCGCCGGCTATAAATTTAGCGTGGAACTCGAATACGTCGCCGGCGGGGAGGTCGGACGTCTCGTAGAGTTGCTAAACGCGACTCTAGTCGAAAAAGTCGAGAAAACCGTCGAAACGGCGACGACGCGGCGCTCTCGGCGATCGAATCGTCCGCCGGGGGACTCGTTTTTGAAAAAGTAGGGCCACGTTTCGACGTTAAATTTAGCGGGGAACGCGGATAAGATCCACACGGGGAGGTCGATGCGCCCTAAAACGCCTAAAACTCGAATTTAAAAAAAAAATGCAAAAAACGCGCGCGACGGCGGCGCTCGTATCGCACTCGAGATCGGCCGCCGCGGGCCCGCCGGGAAGAAGATACGGCCGCGCGCGGCCTGTAAATCTAGCGGGGAACGCGAATAAGGTCACAGCGGGGAGACCCCGGGCCCCCCGAGGGGGTAAAACTCGAAAAACTCGAAAAATTTCGAAAAAATCGAAAAAATCTCGAAACAGTGATAAGAAAGGCTGATTACGCAGCGACGGCTCCGCCGCCGCCGGGAGACCGCCCTCCGGGGGAAATTGAATTTTCTCATTGGCTCTCTCTTACGATGGTTCGGATTTAACGCATAGGGAGCGCCACACGGGTTTTCGTTTTATATAGTAAGACTAGCTCTCCGAGCGTCGCTGGGGGACACCCCCAGACCCCCGTGACCGGGCCCCGAGTGTTGTCGATTTCGGAAGCAGCGGTGGTCTCATGGTGCGGTCGTGGGTCTCAGCCGACACGGTGTATGGGGGATGAGGAGGTATGGTGATAAGGATGTGTGATAAGGCTAGGACCACTGCGGTTCGACGTGGTAGCCCGTGGTAGCCAGGGCAGAGTCTTTGACAGAGTCTTTTCGACGACGCCGCCGGAAATTCGAAATTTGATAAAAAAATAATATAGTAATTTTTGTGGGTATCTAGCAGTTCGGTCACCTAGAGTGACGTTCGCCGTAGTAATAGTATTTGGGGTCTAGCGGGTCAGTCACGTTCCTCGACTTTGGTCGTAGTCACCCTTTAAGACAATATTCGACGGTCGGGGCACGTCATCACGTATGCAATCCGACTGCGTCGAATCGCGGACGACGTTCATTACTGTTACCGAAAACTCAAAATTAAAGAATAAATTACGTGAAGAAAATTCAAAATATTTCGCTTGTCCATTCAAATCATATAGCCACCGTCTGATTTTTCGGTATCTAGCAGGTCAGTCATCTATGTTATCCGGGTAGGCAATGTGCGGCCGGGACAGCGTCCATTGCAGTCACCGACAACGCAAAATTAAGTTATGAAATACGTGAAAAAAAATTCAAAACATTTCGTAAGCAATCCGACTACCGAGTCACCTTCCTCGACGTAATTACGCGAAAATTAGTTTTAGGGTCTAGCAGGATCTAGGGTCTAGCGTCGGATAGCGGACAACGTGTGACTTCTGACGCAAAATTAAGTAAAGAAATTGGTATATGTTTTGGTGTCTAGCAGGTCAGTCACCTTCCTCGACGTTGGACGTAGCAACCCTGGTAGGCAATCTGACTTCGTCGGATAGTGCGACGTCCGGGTCAAGGCATGAAAACGCCAAATGACGTAAATCAAATGTATATAAATAATAATAACATTTCGGGCGCCCGTGCTAGTCATAATACAGTGTGTAAACGGTAATCGAGAACACTCAATATCTTTGCGTACAGACCTGCTATTTGAATTCCGTTTTTTTGGCAGTTGTTATGACATAAAAATACACATTTTTATGGTCTTTGAATTTTTTTTACTTAATTAGTCTCGCGCATGCGCATGTCAACTTTTTTTTTTTAAATGGCAACCCCCTGCTTTAACCACTAATTATTTTTTGCCTATTTTTTTAATGAATTTTGGTAGTTGAATCAACTTTCTAAGTCCAAAATTGACCAAGTTACAGCCAATCAAAAAAAAAAAAAAAAATTAGAAAAAAAATGCACTCGATTTTCAGCTTTTTGATTGTAACTCTGAAAATAATTATTTTAGGATTGTTAAACATTGACATTTTTGTAACTGTTTATTACGGTGATATTCATACGTAATTTTAACTTCAATTACTGAATAATTTTCTCTTTAATTTGTGTAATAAATCATATAACTTATTATAGCAGAAAAAACGTAAATTAGGATCTATTAGAACGTATTAATAATTAATAACAAATTCAATTCTTATTTAAGTTACCAATTTATTTAGTTAATAAAAATCTAAAAATAAAAATAAAAAATAAAAATCTAACGAATAAATTGTTCAAACTGTTCTCCGCCGTGAACAAAACATGATTCAGCGCGCCGCATAAATTCTTTATTTGTTGCAGCAGTAATTTGTTCATCAGTCAGTTGATTGCATGCTGCTGTTATCTTATCTTTTAAATTTTGAAGATTTATAGGAGGATCGGCATACACTATTGACTTCAAGTGTCCCCATAAAAAAAAATCTAGTGGCGTAAGGTCAGGTGATCGTGGTGGCCACTCAATGGGTCCGTAAGTTCCTAGCCATCGATTTTGAAATTGTGAATTTAAATAGTCGCGAACTATGTGAGCATTGTGAGCTGGAGCACCGTCGTGTTGAAAAATAATATTACCTCTTAGAGCTAAAGGAATATCATCAAGCATCATTGGTAATTCATTTAGTAAAAAATTATAATATCGTCTACCATTGAGTGTTCCATCATAAAAAAATGGACCAAGCAATTTACCACCAATTAAACCACACCAAACGTTTGTTCCCCAAACAGTTTGATTGTTAGTTTCAAATGTCCAATGTGGATTTTGATCGTCCCAGTAACGGTTATTTTGCTTATTAATTACACAATTATTAGTAAACTTGGATTCATCTGTCCATAATATTGAATTTAAAATTAATGGATTTTCGTCTAAACTGGTCATCAACCACGCAACAAAAGCTAGTCTACGAGGTGCATCACCCTGACGCAAATGCTGAGCTAAATCTGGTCGATATGGATGCATTTTATATTTTTTTAATATCTTACAAACTGTGGTATGAGATATTCCAAGCTCTCTATCAACGTGCCGTGTTGAACTTCTGGGATTTGTTCGAACATAGGCTAATAGGTTTCCCTCGACCTCTTCACCTAAAGCATCACCTCGTCTTTGTTGTAAATTATTTACCCTTTTAGAAAATGATCCATAGGTTCTTAGATTCCTTTCTAAATTATTAAAAACACTATGGACAGGATGTTCTCTATCTGAAGTAAATAAAAATAACGAAACTAACTTAGAAGATTATCTAAAGAAAAATAAAGACAATTATACCTGGGTAACGTTGTGCATATGTTTGTGCCGCAAGACGTGCATTTTTTTGACACTCCCAATAAATAAACAACATATCAACTTTATCTGAATGAGGCATATTTGTCAGTTGTCACGGAGTAACACACGGTTTGAACGATGAAAAATATCGAAATGTTCAGTTATTTCATTTATCTCATCGTATTTAATTTTATATCAAATTGTCATACAGATAAAAGTTTACTTTAAGGTAAACTTAATGTTTAATCTTATTAATAACCGAAAAATACGATAAGTATTAGATTAGTAGAGGTAATTACCTAATTAATTTGAAAAATTTATAAATACATTTATAACTTAACGTTCTAATAGATCCATTAAATGCAAAGAAATAAACAACATACTAATTTACGTTTTTTCTGCTATAATAAGTTATATGATTTATTACACAAATTAAAGAGAAAATTATTCAGTAATTGAAGTTAAAATTACGTATGAATATCACCGTAATAAACAGTTACAAAAATGTCAATGTTTAACAATCCTAAAATAATTATTTTCAGAGTTACAATCAAAAAGCTGAAAATCGAGTGCATTTTTTTTTCTAATTTTTTTTTTTTTTTGATTGGCTGTAACTTGGTCAATTTTGGACTTAGAAAGTTGATTCAACTACCAAAATTCATTAAAAAAATAGGCAAAAAATAATTAGTAGTTAAAGCAGGGGGTTGCCATTTAAAAAAAAAAGTTGACATGCGCATGCGCGTGACTAATTAAGTAAAAAAAATTCAAAGACCATAAAAATGTGTAGTAGGTAGTAGAGCGATTTAGAAGCAAAACTCGATAAGCTGATGACGTTTCCGTTAATCATATTTATATGACGAAAAAAAAAACGCGAAAAAAACATTGAAACTTTTTGTCGCATATTTTCATTTCAGTATATAGTAATAACGACACTGTCCGCTCTCCGATCTCCTCCGCGGCACTCGACTCGAGCGAAGTACTGACTTATACATTTGGCGGGGAACGCGAATAAGCCTTCGACGGTGAAACTCGAAAAAATCGTAAAATGTTCGTTATAATATGATAAGGCTGAAGTGAAATCGAAAAGTAATAATAAAGAAAAAAGTGAAAAAAAAATTCCGGCGGCCTTGCTACCTATCTACCTACCTACTGAGTTCAGAACGCGATATTCGAGAAAAAAAAAGGAACCTTCGACGCATGCATTTCGATGCCTGTATATAGTAACACCTACTCGACGGTGGTCGAGTAAATGTAGAGGGGAACGCGAATAAGTCATCAACTGGGATTGCAGAAGTGTCGAAAAGGGCTAAAACTGGATTTTTAGAAAAAAACGGCAAAAAACGACTCGACGCATATATTTAGCGTTACCTACTCTCGTTTCCGCCCCGGGACTCGTATCTGCAAAAGTACGGCCACGTGCCGGCTGTAAATTTAGCGGGGAACGCGAATAAGATCCAAACGGGGAGGGCGATACGACCGAAACGGGCTAAAACTCGAATTTTTGAAAAAAACTGCAAAAAAAAGAAAATCGAAGTTTTCGACGCACATACCTATTCACGCCCGTGTATAGTAATAAATAGTATCAAGGACTGCTTTGACGGGGAACGCGAATAAGTCTTCGATGGGGAGGTCCGAAGTCCGTAGAGGCGGTAAAACACGAATTTTGAAAAAAAAATCGAACATTTTCGTTAAATACGATAAGACGGAAGTGATAGCGAAACGACGAAAAAAAAAAATTAAAAAAAAAAATTCAGATTTAACACGGCCGCCACAAATTATCGAATATCCCGGGAGCCGGGTTCGAAACCACGACCCTCGAATCACCTGTCCTAACGCCTAACCAACCTAGCCACCTACTGAGATGAAAATCACAGTCAATTGTATGACTCTTAAGCCACGTCACCGTGCACGCGAAAGGCGAACGCCGTTTGGACGGCCGTCAAAAGGCGTTTGAGCGGGCGATAAGACCGTTTCGGCGAGAGGACCTCCGAATCCGCCGCCCTCTGACGTATAAAACGCGAGATTTGCGAAAAAAATCGAACCTCGAGACGCATGTATTTATGCCCGTATATAGCGGTACCTACTCTCGTTTCCGCGACGCCTCTCCTCCCCGGGGCTCGTTTTTGAAAAAGTAGGGCCGCACGCCGGCTATAAATTTAGCGTGGAACTCGAATACGTCGCCGACGGGTAGGTCGGACGTCTCGTAGAGGTGCTAAACGCGACTCTAGTCGAAAAAGTCGAGAAAACCGTCGAAACGGCGACGACGCGGCGCTCTCGGCGATCGACTGGTTCGCCGGGTGACTGGATTATAAAAAAGAAGGGCCGCGCGCCGATTACAAATTTAGCGGGGAACGCGAATAAGATCCAAACGGGGAGGTCGATACGCCCAAAAACGCCTAAAACTCGAATTTTCGAAAAAAACGGCAAAAAACGCGCGCGACGGCGGCGCTCCGTTGGCACTCGAGATCCGCCGCCGCGGGCCCGCCGGGCCAAAAGTAGGGCCGCGCGCCGACTATAAATTTACCGAGGAACGCGAATAAGGTCCGAACGGGACCTTCCGAGGCCCCCGAGGGGGGTAAAACTCGAAAATTTTGAAAAAAAATCGTGAAAGACGGTCGAAACCGCGAGAAGCAATAAGGAGGAGTGATAGCCGCGATTTCCCGCCATTCGTTCCTTTACTGTCCCTATCGGTGTGGCGGTGCGGATTTTACTGTCCCTATCGGGGGACCCGAACTCCTCAACTGGGGGGATAGGGGGTCCGGGTTTGCGGGGGCTGGTCGGCGCCCTCGAGAGCCGCTAGGGCTGCGTCAAGGGGGCAAAACTTTTTTCCCGGAACTCTAGGAGCAACCGTTGGGGAGTTACGGCCGAAAAACCGTGGGGACCGTAGGGGGTCTTCTGGCTGGACTTTAAAAAGCGATAAGGAGGAGTGATAACGTCGCGGCGATTTCCCGCCATCCGTTCCATTGTTCACTATAGCAGTTCGGATTTAACACATTGGCGGCGCCACTCGTGTTTCTGTTTTATAGATTTAGACTAGCTCTCCGAGGGTAGTGGATTTGTGATAAGGATGTTATATTGGTGGATGTTAGATGGTGGATTAGGTTACCAGTGGATAAGTTAACCGGATGGTTGTCAAAATTTTTTACTTATGTTAATCACGTAAAAAAATTCAAATATCACATAGCCGCTGCGATTTTTTTAGGGTATAGCAGGTCAGTCACGTTCCTCGACTTTGGTCGTAGTCACCCTTAAAGCCAATCCGACAATATACGACCGCTGGGGCACGTCATCACGTATGCTATCCGACTGCGTCGAATCGTGGACGACGTTCATTACTGTTACCGAAAACGCAAAATTAAAGAATAAATTACGTGAAGAAAATTCAAAATATTTCTGGCGTTCATAAAAGTCTTATAGCAACCGTCTGTTTTTTCGGTGTCTAGCAGTGTGACCTGTGTGATCTATGTTATCCAGGTAGGCATTCCGACTCGATGTTGGACGTAGTCACCCGGGTAGACAACGTGACGACCGGTACACGAACCGGTACATCAGCTATATAATTTACGTGAATATATCTTTTGGGGTCTAGCAGGTCAGTCACCTCCTCGAAGTTGGTCGTATTTTCGTGGGTGTCTAGCAGGTCAGTCACCTCGAAATGATGTTCGCCGTAGTAATAGCGGACAATGTGTGACGGCCGCGGGTCACGTCATCAGGTATGCGATCCGACTGCGTCGAATCGCGGACACCGTTCATTACTGTCTCCGAAAACGCAAAATTAACTAAATATCTGATCTGGTCGTTGTTCTCGACCCGGTCCATGTGTGATAAGGGTTAGGATCACCGCAGTTCGACGTGGTAGCCCGTATAAGCAACAATGTTAGCCGAAAACGTTCTTAAATGCTGCCGGAAATTCAAAATCCCGTAAAGAAATCATATAGCTGAAGCGACGTCCTCCTTAGTAATACGGCTAGGATATCCGACAATGTGCGACGGCCGAGTTTTATAGCCTGCTTTTTGTTTGGGTGTTACTACACATAGGACATGAATCATAACGCAGAACCTACACATGATTATGAAAATCTAATATAGTAAAATATATAAAAAATAATATAGTCGTTGTATTTTTGTGGGTGTCTTGCCGGTCAGCCACCTCGAATGACGTTCGGCGTAGTTATAGTATTTGGGGTCTAGCTGCAGGTCAGTCACGTTTCTCGACTTTGGTCGTAGTCACCCTGGAAGGCAATCCGACAATATTCGACGGCTGGAGCACGTCATCACGTATGCGATACGACTGTGTTTGAACGACGTTCATTACTGTTACCGAAAACGCAAAATTAAAGAATACATTTCGTGAAGAAAATTCAAAATATTTCGGGCGTCCGTGCAAATCATATAGCCACCGTCTGATTTTGGTGTCTAGCAGGTCACCCATCTATGTTATCCGGGTAGGCAACGTGCGGCCGGGACAGCGTCCATTACAGTCACCGCCAACGCAAAATAAAGTTATGAATTATGTGAAAAAAAATTCAAAGCAATCCGACTACCGCGAGTCACCTTCCTCGACGTCATTACGCCAAAATTTAGGTCTACGATTTTATAATTATTTATTTATTATTAGTAATAATTAGTTATTAACTACTTACACCACAGATGAAATATCTATTGAATTTTGGAACCAAAAAAAACCGAAAAAACCTCTACATCAAAATATAGGTTTCGGTTTCTTTTCTTAAAAAAATGTATTTAATTGTTTCGGTCCTAAGATTTTCAAAAGGTTACGGTTCCAGTCCTTGTTATGAACTAATAAATGCATACTTATCAATATAATATTACAGTTGTCATTTAAGTTAATTGGTTGAGGTAATCAAATAGCCACTTTCTTATTTTGGTAATAAATAATTGAATGTAGCATACAAATACTGTTTCTATATAATATATATTATTATATTAATAAATAAAAAGATCTTTATATATTTAAGTAAAGTTTGTGGGTAGTAAAGTTCTATACTATTTGATATAACTTACATATATAGCTGTACCTACCTTTTATATTTATTTAATTATGAGAATTAAATCAAATTAATAAATAGATCATTTTAT